AAAAAAAAAAAAAAAAGAATTACAAAACAGAAATAAAGACATTGTCCTATTAAAAATAAGATGAAAGTTGATGATCTTCCCTAGAAAGAACTGACTTACAGTAGCTATTTGTGTTCAAGAGCAACAGACATGCTCAAGTTCAATCATGCCAGCAATATTCCTGAGCTCTTATTATACAAAGATCAATGAGGTGCACATTTTCACAGAGCCTACTTTCTAGTGTAGAAGACAGAAAAGAACACAGACTGAAATTTCAGGTAAATGGAGAATGAGCTATTTGAAGAGACTGGAGTCAAAAGGTACGGCCAAGTGCAAAGGTCCTAAGTAAGGCAGGAGAGAGTCAGGCAAGTTCCAGGGCTAAGAACGCCAGTGGGGCTGCAACACAGAAAAAAAACTGATGCGGTCAAGCTTTGTAGTGAATTAAGCAGAATGTTTAAGTGAGAAAAGAGAAGTGTCAATACATGCAGTGCCTGGTAAGCCTTGCTAAAGAGTCTGAATTTTATTCTGAATGCACCAGGCTTTTAAAATAGAGTAATATAACCTGCCCTACATTTCAAACACTATCTACTGCTATAGTAAGGACAATGTACCACAGAAAGCCAAAATGGAATCAGAGACCAGATTACTGCAGGAAGTCAAATGAGGGCCTGTGACAGTCTCTCAAGGTGGTGGCAATAAAAATGGGGGAAACTGGCTAATCTAGAACATATAAACACTATGTACAACAATCTAAAACTCAAATTTATCTGTCAAATTGATCGCAACTCATCAAGACCCTATAAGCCAGAGTACAGAAGAATCTTATTCCGTTTCCTGGCTGTAAATCTTTACAGAAGCAAGCTCCCTTATTGTTTACCCCTGCAGAGGGTTCCAACCTTGATTATTAGTCCACTGCTTACTCCACTCCACCAACAGGATTCTTATAGAAAACTATAATTTGAGGCAAATTAAAAAGAGCTACATCACTTAAGAAGTAGTAAGCATTTGGAATTCATTACTGAAGAGAGAATGAAAATGGACACTTAAAGGTTTAAAGTAGATTCATAGTGGATTATCAGCAGACCTGGTAAACTTCCTATTTACCTATCCTTTGAAGTCAAAGTGAAAGAAGGGCATTATGTTCCACAGCACTGGACTAAACAAGAGCACATACACAACCCAATGGTAATATGTTAATATAGTACCTTCTTGCATAGTAAAATCTTTCAGGACCTGACCAGATGGTGAACATTTCAGATCAATGGGTAGCTCTGATGGAAAATTAACTGCCCTATATCTGAATCAAGCAACTTTTTAAACTTCCATAATGGTAACTCGGGCCAGTTTTTGTGCCTACCCTCCAATTTACCACAGATGCCCACAGTGTCATCACAGAGATTCTGGAGGAAAATCTTTCAAAATCACAATTTTAGTAATTTTGACTTGTGAAACATAAAGTGACTACTATTCTTCACACTGCACATTTGCAGTCAAGTTGGAACTGACTCATAGATGACTTTCCAGTGGGTTTTTAGAGGCTGTAAATCACAAGGGAGGAGACTGTTCATTCTGCCTCAGAGTCACTGATGCATTTGAACTGACAAAGAGGCACTGCATTTGGGGTTTATCAGCCCGACTCACCAGCCACCCGCCACCAGAGCTCCCTATGTAATGAATACTGATTAAAGTTAAGGTCAAGACACAAATAACTGCAAAACTGTTTAATTGCTATTTAAAAAGAAGCACTGTAACAAGATAAAAGCAAGTTGCTGAAAGACATATGGAGTATGCCATTTTAAAAATTAAAAAAAAAACAAACACAAAACCTAGAAGGATGAATCACTGCTAAAATTTTGGTGACCTCCGAGTGAAAAGACCACTTGGTTTGCTTATTTTCTTATTTGTTAACGCTTCTGCCTACGTTTTCTCCAATCATCACCACTTACTTCGTAGAAGCAAAGATACTTAAGGTTAGTAACAAAGCAAAAAGCCTAAGCCGACAAGCGTCAAGAAAATAATGGGAATCTAAAGCAGACTTCCAACAGAAGCATTAAAAAAAAAAAAAACACCCCAAAAAACCTACCTGAGTGGACGGTAAAAAAAGGAGGAAAAATTTGTTTATAACAAATTGTTATACCAAAAGAGGGACCTTCAAGCGAGGAGTCTAAATTCATAAGGGCTCTATTCCTGGCTTTTCTAAGAGGTAACCAATTACCATACATGTCTGTTTAATGCATAAAGATTTCAATTAAGGGGAGGGGGAACCAAGCGGGTAATCCCCCCCCTCCCCAATCCTTCCCAAGCACATTAGGAAGAACAGCAGGTCTGTCTGGTCTCTGTTGTGTCCAAAAGCAAGGCAGGCGGCTGGGTTCACGGCAGGTTACACCACGGGAATCTACGTGGCCCGGGAACACGGACTATCTTCCACATCACTGGGCAGTGAGAAAGGCTTCTACGGGTCTCAAGACCGCAACATAGACCAAATTATTGTTCTGACAGCTGCCAGCGGTTTCTGACACAAAAACGCAGAAACTGGAAGGTCTCTCCCACAAACTCACGTATTCTGTGCGTGAAGCTCATCCGACCTTCCTGATGCAAAACCAAGACATTCATTTTTATTAACGCCATAGCCTCGATTTTGCAAAATGAGGCAAATCAAAACATCTGACTTACTCTTTACAGCTAATAAGCACTTCGGCTAAAATCCTAATTCACATGTAAACAGCCACTTTGGAGAACTTTGGCTTTAAACAGCCACATAGGGTTTCAGATATTGCCAGGATCCAGTTTTTTATCTGTTCCAATATGAAAGGGTGCTTGTCAAGCCCGGTTCCAGTTACTGAACGAACAGAAAAAAGGTCTCTTTTACCTTCGCAACACAATAGGGGCTTTAAAATGCTCCTACTTTCGAGATAACAGCTTTCGTGGTTCACAAAAATAAATCACAACAATAAGACGCATCCTAATGCCTTCATTGTACCCAAAAAGGGTGAAGAGCAGGAGGTAATCGTTAACATTGAGGATTTTAAGGCTCGTGGAATTTTTTTTCCCTAGCTATGGTTATTTTTTTACCCCCTGTCATACGTCTCTTTCCAAGTTATCTTGTCCTAAAAATAAAAACCAGTGGTTACGGTCGACTTCCCTAGCAAGCCCCGACTCTGCTTCTTGCAGGAGAAAGACTCAACTGTAGACTCTCAACCTAAGCTCTGAGCCGGGGGCGCAGGCTGGCCAGCAGCGGAGTCTCGGGGTGCACAGCCCGCCGGCCAGTGGACCGCTCAGCCCGAGAAGCAGCCCCGTTCTGCCGCAGCCGTCAGAGCCTGCGAAGCCCCCACGAGAGAGGGGGGGAAAAAATAAGCCGAGGTGAGGAGAAGGTGGGCCGGCGACCGGCAGCTAGAGAGGGGAGACACTCACCCGCCCAGACAACAACCAGCGGGGCGGGGAGGGTGGGGGCCGTGACCACGGCTCGGCAGAAACACCGACTGGAGCCTCGGGAAAGCCACGGCCGCTGCCGCTGCCGCTGCTGTTGGCGGTGCTGGTGCTGCTGCTGCTGCCGCTGTCGCTGCCGCCTCTGCTGCGGCCGCTGCTCGCCGGCGCCGACGTCCTCCCCCACCTCTGTTTTGATTCGATTGACCACGTCACTCTCTGCCACGAGACCCGGATCTGCCGGCTCCCACGGGCGGCGGCGCAACAGATTGTAGCGGCTCGAGACCCCAGCGGCCCCGTTCCGCGCATGCGCGCGCGCCGCGCCTGCCCAGTGCGTCCCGGGAGGCGGGGGAGGCGGAAACCGCTGGGCGCGTTCGCGGCGGCCTCCGGGTGGGAGCGCGCAGCGCGGGGGTTGTAGTTCCGGGTGGGAGGGGTGGGGCGGCGGGCGTCTGCGAGCCGGAGGAGCCGAGGCTCCGCCCTGGGCAGCCCAGCCGCCTGGCCTCTGTTTAGGGTGAGGTGGCCAACCGTGTCCTGTCCTGGGCTGCTCGCTTGGCCTGAGCCCATGGCTGTTCTCCACCGGAAGCTTTAAGACATTGTGGACACAGTATCTTGTCGAGACAGGGCACCCCTGGATGGAGAGCTTGTGTTTTTTAATCAATCAGACCCAGATGAAAATTACATCTGGGATTGAGTCTCAGGTGCGCAAGGATGTCAAATGCGGCATTCATTGACCAACCTTCCGTCCCATTCATGTTTTTACACCCGTGAGATGATAAAACATTTAAGGTCGGGACGAATATTAAAGGGACGACGTCACCAAAGATGTCTGGCGGAGAGTGGGGAATGGGTAGGGAAAGCCGTCCAGACTGTCAGCCCAAACTTTTGTTGCTTTTGCTTTTTTTTTTTTAGGGGATGAAAAAGGATGCTGTTTAAGGGATTAAAAATCTAAAAGTGTTTCCGTGCTAACTCTGAGACCCAGGAAAAATCTTCCAATTTGACCAAAGCTCAGGAGTACCTGGTTTTTCTTAATCCATGCAATCCCTTACTAAAAAATGGGAGTCCCAAATTATTTCAATGCCAAGGTGCTGCTTTGCTGATCCTGCAGGTGAGGTGAGGTGAGAGGAGGTGAAAGTCGCATGGAAGAGAATTGTCTTCCTGGATTTGATGACCTTTTCACCTACTCCACGTCTGCCTCAGCTATTATGTGTAATCATCTCTCAGCAAGCAGAGTCAGCGTCAGCAAATTAGTATAATATGCAGTAACTTTTTAATTAACATGGATATTGAACACAAGTAGAGATTTCTTAAAAAAATAAAGAAGAAAGGTTTCTGGTAAAACCTGAAGAATTTCCTGGTTAATTAACAGATGAGGCAAGTGGGCAGAAAGTTTTCTGACACCTAGTCTGCAATCTTGAAGGACCTTGCAAATCGGAGGACCTCGAGGTGAAAAATCTTCTATGTGCCCATGTATAACCAAAACTCAACTCATGGCAGTTCAGACTCGGTGGTTTGGGCGAATCTTTATGGGAAGAACTGCCCACCTTACTCTCACCCTTCCCCATTGGCTGGGGGCAATCAAATGGTGACCTTTCTTTCAGTAGCCAGTTTTGCACTTGGTACAGAGCTACTTCCCTCATATAACAGTAACTGTCTAAAAATACCCCCTCGCTATCAAGTCCATTTACGCTGTCCCATAGGGTTTCCAAAACTGTGAATCTAAAAGTCATTGGGTTCCCAAGACTGTAACTCTTTGTCTGAAAGTCATCACATGGGTTCATCTTTTGGTTAGCGCCCAGATGTTTTAACCACTGCACAACCTGTGCTCCTTGTTTGAAAAGACAACTGCAATTTACAAAAGCTGATATCTCTAAAATTAGAATTGTATGTGCTGTTAAAGAATTACCAGTACTTGCCTTCTAAAGAGGGGGCTCTCATAGCACAGTGAGCAAAACAATGAGTAACTGCAAGGTCAAAGGCTTGAACCCAACAGCCACTATTTGGGGAAAAGATGTTTGCTTTGCTTCCATAAAAAAAGTACAGCCTTAGAAACTCTATGGTGCAGTTCTTCGTTCTACAGGATCACTATAAGTCAGAATGACTAAATGGTGGTGAGTCTGGTTTTAAGGTGAGCTTTATAAACTAAGTTACAGGAAACTGAAAATATTAAGATGCTCATTAGATAGCCTCAGAGATGACCCTACTGATCCTTACCTGTTCAAGTCCAGGTCTTGTTCACTCTTCTCCCTCTTTGAACCAAATTGTTCTATGTGAGCCATAGAATACAATGGAAGTGAAGTGTGAGACTTCTGAAGCTCAGTCGCAGAGGCAATGTAGTTTTCCACCTTGGTCTCTTCAATTGCTTGTTCTGGAGAAAGAAGCCAGTCTCCAAGACCCCTCCTCCCCCCCCCCCAAGCAGCTCAAGGAAGAGACCAGTCTTCAGGGAAACAATAGTATCTACTAACAGAAAGTATCAATTTGCTAGCCACAGGAGTGAACTACAGTGATTGGAGCTGATCCTGCAGTTCCAGTCAAAAATTTAGCCCTGCCCAGTGCTTGATTATAGCTTGCAAGACTGAAATGAAAAAGACCTAGACAAGGCCCTTCTGAATTTCTGACCCACAGACTCTGCTACTAGACCTTACTTTCTTCCTCCAGTCTTTATACATAACTTTTCAAAACCTTAAACATTGGTAAGCTAAAAAAGCTATGTGTCTATGTATGATTGTTGTTGTTATGTGCTCTCAAGTCACCTGCAACTCATAGAGACCCTATGTATAATAGCTCTGAAGCCTGCTCTATCCTGAGTCAGTCTCACTGACTCCAACACACCTACTCCCATTACCCCAGTTACTGTGACAATCCATCTTATCCAGGGGCTTCATCTGTGCTGTCCTTTCACCCTTCCAAGCATGATGTCCTTCTTAAGGACTAGTCTCTCCTGGCCACATGTCCAAAGTATATGAGATGGAGCTTCAAAATCCTAGTCTCCAAGGAGAAACTTGGTTTCCCCCTCTCTAAGACAGACCTGTTTGTTCTCTTGGTAGTCCATATGAAAAGCTGAAGACTCCTCAGCACTACAATGCGAAAGCATCAGTTCTTCTTCTGTCATCCTTAATCATTATCCAGCTTTCTGATGCATACCATGTAATTGCGAAGACCATGGCCTGAATGTGTGTGATTATATGGAATATGTTTTAGATACCGATACTACTAGTTCCAAGTACTTACAACATAGTGAAAACTGAGTTGATGTTTATTTGAACCACAACTGAAAAATGTCCGGAACAAATGTTGACAAAAAAGTAATACCACGATATATGAAGAACTCCTACAAATTTGTAAAAGAGATATTAAAGCCTTTAATAGATAAATGTTATTAGAAAGGCAGTTCCCTCAAGAAGGACATATCATGCTTGATAAAAGGTCAACAAAAAAATAAGACCTTCAGTGAAATGGATTGGCACAGTGATTGCAAAAATAAGCTCAAGCACAGCAATGATTGTGAGGAGGACAGAAAATTGGGACTGGACTCAGGATATCACTATGAGTGAAACCTGACTGACTGGCTGGCACATACCAGCAACATTTGATAAATGGCCCATAAATATATAGAGTATAATGTTTTTGTTATCTAGTGCTACTTTAACAAAAATACCATGAATAGAAGGCTTTAACAAACAAATTTATTCTCTCACAGTGTAAGAGAATAGAAGTCCAAACACAAAGTGCTCCTATTGTTGTTGTTGTTGTTAGGTGACATCGAGTCGATCACGACCCATAGCGACACTATGAACAAAATATCTGAATCCTGCTCTGTCCTGCACCATCCTCATACTTCCTTACACACAAGAGCCCATTGCAGCAGTCACCATGTCAATCCACCTGGTTAAGAGTCTTCCTCTCCTTCACTGACCCTCCACCCTTCCCATCATCATCATATCCTTCTCCAAGGAATAACCCATATTGTTTTTCCTCATTTCAACTGACTTCCTATCTGGGCTCTACTATAACTATCCTCTTTCTTTAGTGTCATAGGATTTCCAAAGGCCTGTTATTTAGGAAATAGATGGCCCATCCTGCTTCCTAATCTGTC